GCGCCTGTCTGCTAAGCTCAAAACAACCGCGCCTGGCTTGACGGAGAAACCAGGAGAACAGCTGTGCATATTTACGACAGTGCACTTTTACTTTCGCCGTCTGGGGGGAGCCTCGCTGGAAAATCAACACCGGTTGCATAGTATACCTTTAAAAACAAAAATCAAGTTTATATCCAAATCAGTGTACTGTTTTCTGTTGGCTGTCTTTGTCTGAAAAATTGCCCTAGCTGGAAGGATGTATTTTATTTTAGTGTCAAGCTCAGACAATGCTAGCTTCTAGCTGTTGGGTTTACCATATTTCCTGATTTTTAAAGCTTGCGATCTGCTAGTTAAAATGAGTGTTATCTCAATGATGAGTAGGACTCAGAGTATCCTAGCCTTTATTCACCCAGCTGACCAGCAGTGCACAGCAACCTGTTGGGAAAAGTAACACCACATCACCATACATTGAGAAATCTCTGCTCTTTCCAACACTGTTTTTCTGCCATCTCTTTTAAAAAACTTTGAGCTGTGGGAACAATGTGACACGACAATGTCAGCAGCTTTGAACTCCAAACTTTTTAAAACCTTGCTTCACCTTGCTGCGAGTATCTAGCCCCTGTCCTATTGAGAGGCAGGTTCTGAGAATTCTAGATCTGGGTCAAGTGTCGAGTCTGAACTCATCATCTCATTTGCTCTATGAGATTATAGGAGGAATGCATATCAAAGGACGCTCCGACCGGTCAAGTTGAACTTTCCCAAGAGAGACACAATTCCCTGGGCGGACGCCTCGAGGCAACTGTCACATCACATGAGATGCCAGCAGATAAAACCTTTGAAAGGAACGCATAGATCAGACAGGCTTATACAGATCAAATTGATTAAGTGTCCATGTAAACCGTAAATCCATAGTTATACAGAGGAACATGTTTTAATCGATCCGGCTGTGACTGGTCAGGGGCGACAGAGAGAAGTGCTTTACCATAACAAAAGAAACAAGAGGTAACCAAGATAAAAAAAAACGACAAACTGCATTACATCCTTTTTTTTCCACATTAAATACTCCGAGTTTAACTTGCAGGGATCCTATAACCTTTAGCCTTTTCCAAGACTCTAGATTCCAAATAACAAAAACGCCACATTAGTTTGTTATTAATGTGAACATTTTCAGTGATAATGTCGATTTTATCATAGCAGTTAATTTGCACAGAAGTCAGTCGGCGTCTTGAATTAAAGCCTTTAGGGAGTTTATCTTTAAACATTCAAACGTGCAGATTTTTAACCAGCAATTCTTGTCTTAGAAGGGTGCAAAGAGACTGTAGAGAGATTGGAAAGCTTCAGAGGAATGGAAATTAAACTTTAGAGAGAGAGATAGATGCAAAAGCAAACATTGATACGAAGTTCTGCCCTTCCGGGCTTCCAGATGTAAGATATGGTAAGCTTTATTGGAACCTCTTTGACAAATTTGCTAAAAGAAAGAAAATGGATTGAGAAGATGAAGAGTGGTCCTTGAAGCTCTGAACTCAAGTTACACCAGAGGAGAAAAAGAAAAATCAAGACTAAATCCTTCAATATGCTGTTATTCATTACAAAAGGCATTAACTTAATCAGGCTGAAAAACATTTATAACTGTTATTCAAAGCATTCATTTTTTTTCTCTAAATAGTGTTTTTGAGACCTATTAAAATGTCTGCAGATGAGTAAGAAAGAGTTTTGTCTTGACTGACTTTGAGGACATCTAAAGTAATAAATGAAGGGATTCAGAAAACAGGAAAAAACATGAGAGAAAATGAAATTGATAGAAAAGTCAAATGAAGTGTTTGAGAAAGGGCAGAGAGGACGTGATAAGTCAGAGGGAGGGTGAGTCGCAGACAGACAGACAGACAGACGAGGGGGAGGAGGGCCGATGTCTCACCGCGGCAGGGAGCTGTACTGCCTCGATGCTTGCTGGAAGCCGTCTCTGTCCTCTTGCTGCTGATTCGGAGTGTCAACTGTTGCAGAATGGCGTCCACTCTGTGTCTCCGTCCCATTGCTCACCTGGTTCACCTGCGACAAAAAACACCAGACACCTCGCTATGACATAAGCACTGAGAAATAAAACTACAGACACATGGCCATTTCAGGCAGAAAATAAGTCTTTCTCCCCGTTCATGAGCAGATGTAAATTTACACTGTGGAATACGTTCCCTTGCTGCAGCATGTGGTCTGACAGCGTGAAGCCTCATGTGTGTTCACCTGCCATCAGGGAACAATTACTGTATGTAGGTGTGATCCCATGAAGACATGTGGTACAAACAAAAATGTACTCGCCTTTCCTTGTTAATGGTTTCAAATGTCAGCAAGATTTAATACTTTTTGCAATAGCATAATATTACGCCATAAAACATTGAAAAATATCATCTTTAATTTAATGAAAAGGATATTCACAGGGGTAAAAAACAAAAAATTAAATATTGATTCATTACTCAATCCGGAGATGTATAAAATGTTTGCAAAAAAGATCTTTTAGAGGTTTAGTTCTCCCTATGCTGTCCGAAACATGATCTGCTCTGGCAGGGTGAAAGGTTTTCTATAGGTTTGGTTGTACCTTCTGATTCATCTGCTCCATTTTTAGTTAATCCTGATGTGCAAACCTGCAGCTATGTCTTTCTCCTCACTTCTCTCAGTATTTATGTTCACTCAGTACTATTGTTCTTCACAGAATCCTTCCACTTCTGCTGCATCGTACCCCCATCCCCATTCAAGAATCTTGTTATTAACAATTTTGTTTATATTCCGCTCCTAAATTCATACTTTTGAAGCAGTTGTTCCCAACGCAAGGCATCAACAAAGACAAAACGAGGCAACCTCAAGCCTCTTCTAACAATAGATCCCCAGTTAGATGCATATAAAATTGTATTTTATTCTATCGCTCGTCTTTTTAATAACTATCATTCAAATAGATCTGAAAATGGCAGAACCTATGTTTATTAAACAAGACATTTAGGTGAATCCTGACTTTTCCAGTTCATAGTGCAGGGGATTGGTAGTACTTTTTATGACTCAGTAAGTATTAGGATTGATTGAGTTTATTGATCTCACATTGGAGAAATGCACTTGGCTAAATAGTCAAAAGAAGAATATATATATATGACAGCTGAAGTCTCTTATTTAGCAGAATTATTATACAGGGTTAGTGCACAGGGTATTACATTGCTATTTACATATATATAGCTATTGTGCAGGGTATCAAATATAGAATATATAAATATATGTATATTAAGTTCAGAAAGCAGCTCTCAGCTTCAAAAAGATTGGTGACCACTGTTGATTGATTGATTAGCTTTTTTGATCTGACAGTGGAGGAATTTACTCGTTAAATCAGCTCAAAAAGTCAAAGAAGAAGATTGTGCAAAAGGAGAAAAAAGTGCATGGGATATATACAGTGTTTATACACATATGCGTCCACATATGACAGCTTTTTTTTGTATAAAAATGCAGCTTTCTAAGAAAAGTCTTGCAGCTGTGCAGCATCACAAATAGGCACTAATTTGATGTCATAGAAAGGAAAATTGAAACATTATGTTATTTTATACTTAAATTTGAATAGACAACAATGACAAATCCTTGCATTTCTCAAAGAACTGTAAACATTATGTTTGTCAGTGTGTTTAACTGAAATGACAGATCCAATAATGCAGGTGTTGCTGCTGTGTTTCTTGGACTGTGAGTAAATGTTTAAAAGGTAGTCAGCCTTAAAAGTGTTTGGTTAGCACGGTTTAACCTCAAGTGCTCCCTGTGGCCTCTGGAATGTTGCTACACGGAACATAAACTCCTGAAGAGTGAGAGAAACTAGTTGAAAGTGTTTCCTAATGCTGTCAAAATGAAGCGTGGACCAGCACAGGAGTAAAAATAGCCAAGAGTTACTGTGGTTCCAGAAAGTTCTGATGAGAAACATTGCTCTGAGAGAAGCGAAACCCACAGAAAATCATTTAAAGCACTTCAAAGTCCCTGACAGGAGAGTGAGTGAGTGTGTTTGATGAGGAATTAGCAGCACCTGAACATGCATCTGGGTAAGAAAAAAAAGGTGGGATTTATGACTAGCTTTAAGACTAGATGTCCCGGAGAATTCCAGTTTTCCTGCAAACCCTCGTCCCCTCTTCAAGTTTGTGTATTCACTCTACCTTGCTAACTGTCCTTGTTGTAATGCAAATAACCTGTGATGTGACCAGTCCTTCTACATGAGACTGGATAAGGCTGAAACAAACTGGCATCAGAACAAGAGCATGCTCCAAACACTTTTCATTACCTTCCCCTGCAACATCAGACCTTTTTACAGGAATATCCTAATAATAGGGCTCGGGATCCACGTTGCATTGTGGGATGTCGCGGTCATATTGACGGCTACGCAAACGTAAACATAGCTCTGA